TCTCACTTGTTTTGCTGGGATACCCAAATGCTAAAACTCAGATTTGGGTTTTGACTCTAAATTTGGATTGGTCAAGGAAAAGTTTTATTTTATGTTATTTCTACCCGACCATCTTGGATTTGGCAAAAAACTTATATTTGGGTTTTGAGATTCTGGTGCATTGGAGAAGGAAAAAGATTTTTATTTAGACCCAAATCTAACATCTATGCTGCAGATGGCCAATATTTGATTCTATGGCTAGCACGGTTCCATTCTTGTTTCCTTTATCTATCTGTAATTGGTCTGTTTTAGATTTGATATATATTTATAGCTGCAGAAAAACTGTTTGTACCTTTGTTGGAAACTAGGAAGCAAGAGGAGTTAAATTCTCACTTACTTTGGAAATGTTGTGCATAACGATTACAGCTATCGGGCCATAGGAAGAAAAGAACTACAATTTCTGTTCTTTCTTGTTCTGTTCCTTTTTTTGTTAATAAAGTGCGGTATTGTTTACACGTGCAGCATGTCATCTCTGAACCCTTTGAGCCATCACCATTTATGCCTGGTGGTAAAGAATTTGAGGATGAGTTGAATTTGACAAGTAATAGGCAGCAAAGAGTGCTACCTGATCCAGATCCATCATTTCCATTAGCCCAGAGTGAAAAGGAGAGCACAAAGGAAAACAATGTGGCTAAGATTAAAGTTGTGGTATGTGTGCTTATATCTGACTTGGTTCCTTATTTCTGTATGAATGCTTTGTATCATATACCATTTTTGGCATCTTCTGTTGTGTGATTTGGAGGCATATGATGGAATGTCAAGTCTATTACGTTTCATGGAAATTTTGAAAGATTTGTGCTCTAATGGTTAATATTAGGTACGCAAAAGACCTTTGAACAAGAAGGAGCTTTCACGGAAGGAGGAGGATATTGTAACCGTGTATGACAATGCTTATTTGACAGTCCATGAACCCAAACTAAAGGTTTGTTCTCAGCATTCACAAGGCACCAGATGCTACTTGAACTTTTAGCTGAATTTTGTTTTTGGGATTGAAGTCTCTTTTCCTCACATATCTTCTTTGGGATTTACTTTTTGTTCTCATATGATAGGTGGACTTGACTGCATACGTGGAGAAGCATGAATTTTGTTTTGATGCTGTACTGAATGAGCAAGTTTCAAATGATGAGGTCAGAGACTAAAATTTCCATGTACACAAGTGTCTAAATGTTACCTAATTCCTTTAGTGTTTAGGATACTGTTGCATATTGGGCATAGTCTGTTCCTCTACGATTGTTATCAGTTCGATAGAATAAGTTTGATGACTTTAAATGCTTTTTGGAACAGGTATACCGGGCTACTGTAGAACCAATCATTCCCATAATTTTTGAGCGAACAAAGGCTACATGTTTTGCTTATGGTCAAACAGGTATGTTGTTCATATGATCTTCCCTTTTAATACACTACATGATTATCAGCTTATCCTTGTTGATACTTTATTCTTTTCCATACATGTATTAGACAGTCATCAAAATGCAGTATCTTTTCATTGGTTGAGTTATTAATTGTACTGAGCTTGTGATAAACTGGAGTTTAGATCTGAGACATTATATTAGTGGTTTTACTTAATGCTATGTGATCCTTTTCAACGAAGTTAAATGTCTGCATTATTGAAGTACTAATGAGGTTTGAATTATAGGTAGTGGTAAGACATTCACAATGCAACCGTTACCTATCAGAGCTGCAGAAGACCTCGTCAGATTGTTACATCAGCCAGTTTACCGTAACCAGAGATTCAAATTGTGGCTTAGCTATTTTGAGATTTATGGTGGAAAGCTCTTTGATCTTCTCAGTGATAGGAAGTACATCTCTTTGCTTCATTGGTTCTTTTATTTTGATGTTATGAACATATTCAAGTTCATTGTTTAATTTTTTTTCTTTTAAATTTTTAAATTTAAATTGCTACTATATTCGAATGGGATTTGAACCCAATATCTTATTAGAGGAGGTATAGGCTTGTAGATACTTTGGGGAATAGGCTATGTTAGTGCATTATAATAGTCTGATGAGTAAAAAGATTGGGTGCAAGTTAGATTCTGTGGAATCATTATGGTATTTGGGTTCTGATTATGTGCAATTCTGGGTTCGACATGCATTGTGCATCATTTTCTTTTATATGCAACACATTTCTTTTCATGCCATTTAGACATAATGTACATATGTATATGTATGTGAATTTTGGTTCACTTGGCGGTGTACTTCTATAACTGTGTTATGACATGAGTGACTTCATTCCTTTACAATAGGAAACTATGTATGAGAGAAGATGGACGACAACAAGTTTGCATTGTTGGACTGCAAGAGTTTGAAGTTTCAGATGTACAAATTGTTAAAGAATTTATTGAGAGGGGGAATGCTTCTAGAAGTACTGGATCGACAGGTGCTAATGAGGAGTCTTCTCGGTCTCATGCTATTTTACAACTTGTTGTTAAAAAGCACACTGAGGTAAAAGATTCCAGGCGAAACATTGATGTAAATGAATCTAGAAGTGGGAAGGTTGTGGGAAAGATCTCTTTTATTGATCTTGCTGGTAGTGAAAGGGGTGCCGACACCACTGATAATGACCGACAAACAAGGTAATCTTCCAAGTTTATCTTTTTTTGGGCTGTACCTCTTCCATCAGGATAATGCTTCTTAGGCTATAAAATAAACCATTATTGTTCTTCGCATTCATTGTAATGCAAGTTTTATATTGGCATGATGATTTACTGGCTACTGCAGTTTCTTTAATTAAAATGGGTTATTGCAGAATTGAAGGAGCAGAAATTAACAAGAGCCTTTTGGCACTTAAGGAGTGCATTCGTGCCCTGGACAATGATCAGATCCATATACCTTTCCGTGGAAGCAAACTCACAGAAGTGCTCCGTGACTCCTTTGTTGGAAATTCAAGGACTGTTATGATATCTTGCATTTCTCCAAATGCAGGGTCATGCGAGCATACACTTAATACTTTGAGATATGCAGATCGGTATGCTTTATGCTATTGTCAACTTAAATAACTCTAAGGACTTTGCTACTGGTTAATGATTACACTTATGTTTCAAACTAAAAGATTATTTTATACAAACAGCGTGAAAAGTCTTTCAAAGGGTGGCAATGCTAGAAAGGATCAAGCCATAAATTCATTACCACCAGCGAATAGGGATGTTTCATTAGCATCTTCTACACTGGTTTCTTCTGAGGTAGAGGATGTCCGTGAGCAACATCAAGAAGTTAAAGTAGCTGATACAGGTAGAAGAGCTGTGGAGAAGAAAGTTTCTCATATATCCCTCCTACTCCAGAGTTTGACAAGCAGCCAGCAAAGTCGTCATCAAGTAATCCCATCAATGTTCGGGAAGAAAGTGGGGTGCCTTCTGGTTCAATGGACAGGGAGAGATTTGAAATGAATAATTCGTATGGTGATAATTACAGTCAGAAGTTGCCCAATTATTCTAAAAACTCGGTTGATACAGAAGAGAGAGTACAAAAGGTGTCGCCACCTCGTAGGAAAGTAACCAAGGATGAAAAATCAGAAAGGCTGGGGAACTGGCCGAAAAAAGTTGGTTCGGATCTCTCCACCACAAGCTCTAAGCAGCAAAGTACCGGAATTTATAATGCAAGCAATGCTGGATCCAGACAATCTGAGCCTGAAGTTCCTGATGGGAATATCAATGCCATTCTTGAGGTTGGTACTCTGTGGCCTAACTCATTTTAACCGTGTAGTTATTTTTTTAAGTTCTCCTGCACCCCCTGCTAATTTGTTGAGTTCTTTGGACTGTTTAGGAAGAAGAGGCCCTTATTGCTGCCCATAGAAAAGAAATTGAGGATACAATGGAAATTGTTCGCGAAGTAAGTGAAAATTTTTGTCTTTTGATTTTAAAGATGAGATTTTCTATTGGCTATTATCAGTCGTGCATAACATGCAAACTCTCCGTTTTAAGTTATTGTTTGGTTTTGTACGTTCATGAACTTTGAATGGCGTTTTTTTTCATCTTTTCACATGGTGCTCATCCCTGTTGTTTGGTTACCAGGAAATGAAACTGTTGGCGGAAGTGGACCAACCGGGGAGCCGCATAGACAACTATGTGACCCAGTTGAATTTTGTTCTTTCCCGCAAGGCAGCCGGTCTGGTTAGCCTTCAAGCCCGGCTTGCAAGATTCCAGCACAGACTAAAAGAACAGGAAATACTAAGTCGGAAAAGAGTACCTCGTTAAGGCAGGCACTTTGTTTCGCTGCGCACTGTATCTTGTATTGTAGACATTACAAAGCAGGAGGCCTGTGGGAGAGGATTTGAGGCATTGCAGACTCCGGACTTTGTTCACATCCAGACTTCTGGCTTGAAGCACGGGAATGGGGATAGGATTCGTGTCTTTTGCCGGTAATTTGTGTTTTCTTTTGTAATTCTTTAGATAAGTCCGTCGATGTGTTCTTGCCGAGTTCCTCTGGATTTTGGATTTCGGCTGTTGTGTAATGGTGACCGGGGATTTGATTGCACAAAGTATTTTCTAGTAAAGGAAAAAAAATGAAAATATAAGGTTTATATTTCATTTTGTTTGGTTTTTACTGTTCCTCGAGTAGCCATGTCAGAGAGTTGCAAGCCCCTTCTAAAGGATTTGGATCCTCTCCTGAGCTAATGGAGAGGATCCTCCTAACCACTAATCATGGGCCGTTGGATTTTTATCCAACAGCTATAATTATTATAACTTTAAAAGGGCCCTCCTGGTTGTAGCCGTTGGATAAAAATCCAACGGCCATTGATTAGTGGTCAGGAGGACCCTCTCCATTAGCTCAGGAGAGGATCCAAGTCCCCTTCTAAAGGGCTTGCAACTCTAGTGCTAAAATCGCATTTACTCCTGCATCTGAGGTTTTGAGACCGTTTCTTTTTACCACAATTTTAACCACTCGAAGGGTTTCAAAAGCACTTGAGCAATGGTTTGAAGGTGCCTTGAGTAGCTATATTTCTGAATTCCCAAAGCATAAGCAAATTGGCCAAAACAAACGAAACCTTTGTTTTATAAATAGAAATATTTCTCACGACAGTTGGATCAAGATACAAAGGACCAAAAGGAAACCTGCAGTCTAGGATTTGTTCAGGCTCTCAACATTTATGTTTCCGGCAATCAAGGTTCCCACTTGTATTGTATATACAAGTAACTATTTCCGCATCGTGCTCTGATAAGCCTTGACTTACAGGACTCACCTCGCCAGGACAACTCTCAAATCACTCAAAAAAAATGCGAAACTGGCACGACCGGCAATAACACTATGAATCTAATGCAGACATTGATGGGCACACCTACTTCATGATATCATTAGCTAATTCCTGATTGGTACTACAGCATGTCAAAAGCTTGCTTCGTAGACACAATCAGTCTGCTCTCAATTTTAGGATCTCCTTCGCTGTTCTCGATCGAAAATATGGCATGTGTTCCTGCAATGACAATAAAAACAGGGTTGAATCATACTAACTAAAAGTTGTTCAGCAGAGCGAGGAATGGTTGGTAGTGCGAGTTTTTCATGGAAACCTAATCCAAGAGCAGGCCATACATGAGCAGTTCATTCTATTGCATACTAGTACGAGAGGAAAGAAGAAGAAATAAAAGGAGCCAGTACCGAGATTCTTCCCCCTAGAATATTGGCTATAATTTCCCATTTTAAAGGTTTGAATGCATGTGCAGTCAAATAAATATGAATTAGCAACAGAAGCATCTCTATATGCGTTACCTGTTTGAAACAGAGCCCAATATCCCTGCTATAAAAGTCAGCATATTTAACCATGAAAACACCACAGTCATACCTGTTATAAAGAAATTGATCAGAACAATTAATTATAAAGAGTTCGCAAAAAAAAAAATATTAATAATAATTTCCAGCAAGTGTCAAGACATGCAATGTTAGCCTACCCATTCTCCTGCTCAGGAAGGTTGTCAACATATTCTAATTCCCAAGAACTCAAATCGATATCCTCTCCACTCTTGTCCTTCACTTCATCAACGTAGTATTTAGCCTGCAAATATACACAGTGAACCGTTAGCTGCAACTCAATTGATTGAATGGATTTACTACTTTTCCTACCATTTTCTCAGGGCCTGCCATAAGAATCGAGAAAAGGAAAAAGAAAAAGATGAATAAACTACCAGGTGGGCCTAATAATATCTTCTGGCCTGCACAGAATATACTGTTTTTCTTTTGGCCGTCAAAATGAGGCAAATAAACAATAGTACCGGATGGATCAGCTAAATGAACAAAAGGGAAAATAGTGATACTTCTAACTATGATGTTAAAATCAAAGTTCTGACAAGCCATTGTTTCCAGAGATGTGATGTCCATATAGACTGGTGGAGCCAGAACTTCATATGGGTGGGCGGACAACCTAAATTTAGTAGCCATTTCCTAAAACTGCACAATTCAAAGCCATATACCTTGAGGTGGGAGACAAGACCACTAGCAGTCTTAACATTGAGACGGCCTGGTAGCCATAGTGTTCAAAGGGTTGGTTGGGAAATCATTATGTGCAACTACATAACAAATGAGGAGTGTATTGTCTGCACTACTTTTTGGCCTTCAAGCTTCTAGACAATTAATTCAAATATCACTTACCACCAATTAAGATTTTTTACTATGAAGAGTTAATTGATGGTAGATGATTGATGAAATGGTTGCTCAGACATCATGAACACTAAAATGTTTCTGAGTGGAGAATGGCTTTGGATTCAATAATTTGATGTGCAGATTGCATACCACATTAAGAGTGCATGCAGGGAGGGATATTCTTCCCAAGTTCCGCAGGCAAGGCTGACAATATGATTTTATACACTTTTAAAACCCAGACAGTTCCCACAGATGGTTTATAAAAGAGTAGCAGGAAATTATAAGGTACCAACAATGGCAAGAATTTTAGTATTATAAAAAAAAATACCAACGTCCCATACCCCTTACCACAAAAAATAAAATAAAACAGGTGTTATCGAGGGTAAGCACCATGCATCAATAAATTATATCAACAGCCAAACAAAAGATGACTACAAAACGTACCAATATTCTCATCACTTGGGTATCCCTTCCTTTGAGTGAATCAAGATACTGTAACTTCTGATCTACCTTGTTAATAACTGCCAAGCACCAATGTATTTCTTTGTGGATGGGGACAAATATCTGAAAAGAAAACCACTTATGAAATAAATGTGATTTCCGTAGAACTGAGTATATGGTGTAAGGAAAAAGGTTTGATTAAAGTTACTTTGTCGCAATCAATGAGGTAGTATCCCAACTTTCTTTCGGTAGTCCACCTTCTGACAGATTTATAATCATAGCCACCTTTCCCACTTATCAACTGCACATTAAATTTCAGAAAAATAAGAGCATGGAAAATCTTAATCGGACAGCAAAGATGGTACCCAATCTAGGCAAATTATTACTAGGAGTGTGAATGCACGGGCTGAGTTGACAGGCCTTGCCTGCAGTTAGCCTAAAGAGCACATGGCTGAGCTCTCAACCCAGCCCAGCCATCAGGCCTAAAGTTGATCAAAATGTAATATACGTAAACAATGGGACAAACAACTGGGGCATTTCGGGTCAGGCTTATATCAGGCTGATTTATTTTCTGAACTTCAAATCAAATGTTTTAAATCAGCCACAACTCAGACGAGACTTGTCCTAAAGGTCGATGAAATTGCAGCACAATTTGACCAATTGAAAATAAACTGGAATTAGAGCTTCATATATTATTAACATTTTCAAAACATATATTGTTTCAACTCTTAAGGAAGTTTCATAAATCAAGGAGTGACTATATAATTCATAATAGTGTGCACTTATCTAGACAAGAAATTAATGATATCAGCAAAATATTTGCCAAACTCTTCTGACTGTAAAAAGAAAAAAAGAAAAAAGAAAAAAAGAGAGAACTAAACAGGATATGCATATACAAATATGTGCCGAGAACCATGACTAAAAGATATAAGAAGACTACATGCAAATTACAAACCTTTGTATAGAAAAATGTGTTGAAGAAGTGACATTTTAAGAACTTTTGTGGTTCTCTCTTCTCCCTCTCTTTCAGCAATTCAAGGTACACATTTATGACCTGAAAGCAAGAAAGTGCACGTTATCAAGAAACTAAATTACCAGTTTGGTAAGCCCGTATAAGTCCCACATCAACCATTAAAAACAAAATCTAATGAAGAAACTTAATCTTTGTCATTGCTAAAAAAAAATGTAAACACATAACCTAAGAATACCTCATCCTTCAACCACGCCCCTGGTCTAAGGCACTGCAGAAGTTCACCAGTTATCTCTATGTTTGAGTTCTCATGAGTTACCAAGATCCTCTTCCTGTTGAAGGAACCCCAACAATGTTATAGTTTACCATACACCAATTTTAAAATGAACCAATATATATGCATAAATCCATACCGGTTGGAGGAAGAAAATGCTTGCTCAATCTCCGCCACTTCCTCCTTTCTAAGAGGGACAAATGGTTCAACGGGCACAACCTAAAAAGAAATGGGAATAGCTTATTAAGACTTCGTTACCAATCATTACTTCCAGGTTGATACAAGCTTTTTAACTTTAGAATTAGTAACAATTCTTCAAACTACATACCAAGCATATCCCCAGATAACCAAAGAAATGAAAATTATACTTTATAGTTTATAACAGGTAGAAAGTTAATGCAAAACGATAAAACATTCACCTCCACTGGTTTCTTTTGTGGACGCAGCGATTCAAGCATATACCGTTTCTTCCAATGGAAGTCAATTTGGAAATCCAAATGTTTCAGTTTCGGAGTCCGCCTCTCTACACTCTCAATCAACAGCTTGTATGCTGCCTTACTTGGCACACCCACCTCACGATTCAGCGACAGTGAGTCCAACATCTTCCCTGCACTGTCCTCTTTGAAAGCAGTATTCGTAGTTGTGGTCAAGTCTGAAACCACTGAAGAAGCCGATGGATGAGTAGCCTGAGTTCCACAATCCACCATCTTCGTATCCAATTCCTGCCCATAATCCACCACAGAAGGCCCTTCTTGGTCATCTTCCTCTATAGCCACAACTTCTTCTATGCTTGAATCCTCGGAAACCCGATCATCTTCAACCTCCTTATCCAATTCAATCACCTCCTTGTCCTTGGTCGAATACCGAAATGCACTGAAGGCGACGTTCTTTGCCTTGTCCAAATGGTAACTCAGTACATTGCCCATCGACCGCTCTTCAGGAACCCCTCTAGTTTTCGGACTCAAACCACGAAAGGACCCGAATTTTTGTGTTCTGCAAGGGGCGTGAACTCTAGGCAATGGGGGCTTTATATCCGGGTACCGAGAGAGCCTCGAACCGGCGCTTTTAGAAGAGACGATGAGTTGGTTCGGGCTCTGATTCACGTGAGACAATCTGGGTCGCTTCGAGCTTTGAAAATTAGGCAAATTCAGAGATGGGTGCGCACAATTGAAGCTCAAACGCTCGTCCCCTCGCTTACGGTTGCTGGTTAGCGCTCCCATTGATAGACCCGGAGCTCAAAAACCCTAGAAATTCACATCTCATCTGATGAAAACCATGTTAGGGCAAACAATCACCTGGCGAAACTTAAAACCCTAAATGTGGCGCAATCGGAATTCAAAATTAGGGTTTTTGGTAAGCTGCGAAGAGGAAAAAGGGGGGAGAGAATGGTTCGATTGGAGCTTGTTGAAATCGGAAATTTGAAGGGAGCAAAAACCCTAGAAACGCACCAGAAAATCTGTGGAGACAAAAGTGTTCCCGCTTCAATGAAGATTGAAGGGCTTGAGAAGAATTTTTTGATTTTGTTTAGTCGGAGAGTAATTTTAATTTTGACGCAGTTTGAGTTGGGATCTGCATTTCCCAATTTTGCTCGTGTGCGTTTTAAAAAAGAAAATTTAACCAAAAACTTCAAATACCGTTTCTTTTAACGAAAAATTATATTTTTATATTAAAAAATCAATCTTTATACTATTTATTTATCTTTTATTTTACCTTTATTATTAAAACTCAAAGTCTTGAAGTTATTTTTAATATTTTTCCTTTTAAGAAACGCTTCGGCTTTTTGGTAGAATTACTTTTTGTTTTTTTACATCGATATTATTTTAATCTCTACTAATTAATAAAATATTTATTGTCAACCAAAATTTTATGAAATTATTAGTTTAACCCTTTAATTAAAACATAACATGAATAAGAAATATGAGGCACAACTGTAATTTCATACAATCAAATTTTGCTATTTTTTTTTTCAAAACCTCACTTACATGTAATCCTAACATATCTCTAATTAAAAATAAATAAATAAATAACTTCATACTCTCACATTCTCTATCACTCTGTTCTTCTCTCCTTCTATTTCAAAAACAAAAATAAAAAAAAATTCTCACACACTTTGTGTGCACCCATATGCTAGCTATTTTTAAAATAACTAAAAAGTTTTTGGTGAAATTGATTTTACGTTTTAAACACTTTAAGTGTTTTTCAGAAGAAACACTATTTTTTGCATAAATCATTTAAAGTGTTTTTCAAAGATCCACTTAGATTTTTACTCATAATGAATTTTAAAAATATTTTCACTAAAAACGCTTTCAGTCATTTTATAAATATTTCCAAATAAGCTATACATTAAGGGGAAAAAAAACAATTCTTTTTTATGCAAAAAAATAAAGAAAAAAAAAACCTTTCACCCATTACTATACATAAGGTTTTAACTACTTTCGTTGTGACTTTCTTAGTGTTTACGAATAACCAGTAGTTCAAATCTTAACAAGTAAATAATAAATTAATTAGGAGAAAAATTAGTTTCGAACTAATTTCTAACTTGGTTGATCATTAATTATATAAACATGCCTGCTTGAAGAAATGTGTATGAAAATCGTATACGTTAAAGAGCGAGTGCGAAAGAAATTATTCATTATATTATGTGATAAACATAATTTTATGGCTTGAATGTCAAAATGATCAACGTGTTATAGTCATATGGCCAATTTAGTCTTTGTGTTTTTTATTTAGCTAATTTAGTCCTCGTATTTGTCTTTGTTAGCCAATTAAGGACATTTCATTTCATCTCTATTAAAAAATTCATAAAAAATTATAAGAGATATAATTACCTTTTATCTTTACAGAAATGATTTGAGAAATAATACATATAAGAGAAAAACGTCCAATATGAAAAAATGATTAAGGTTGTGATATAGAAAAGAGAGGGGGTAACGTTAGGGAGGAGGTCGGGAGTTGGGAGGAGAATAAATTTTCTTTTAATTTATTTCATTTGAGATACTTTAAATGGTAAATTACATAGTAGCCCCTCAGGTTTAAGGTCTATTACAATCTCATACAACGTCTTTAAAACATTTCACTTTCATACATCATGTACCATTTTATTTCAAAATAATACATCCGTTAGATTTTCCGTCCATTAACCTGTTAAATGCTGACGTGGCTGCCACATTTGTGCTGATGTGGCTGCCAAATGTGTGCCACGTGGCAAAAATAATAATTTTTTAATTTTTTAAAAAAAAACATAAATCTTCTAAAATAAAAAAATAAAAACCCAGAAGCTGAACAAAACCCCACCCCCGTGAACCCCCCTTATCCTTTTTCTTCCCTGCTCCCATCTTCCCACACCCCATACCTGCACCAGAGAACAACCCAGATCCCATATCCCCGCGAAACCCATACCCCATATGACCACCCCCAACCCATATCCTATTACCACGCCCCCCCGGCACGAAACCTAACCCAGATCCCATTACCACCCCTCCGACGCGAAACCCATATCCCCCCCCCCGAACTGCAAGGACGTCATCCTCACCCGCATCATCTTCGTCGTCGAAGACGACAACGAGCAGGAGCAGCAGGGCGACAATGAGAAATCTCGGTCGACGACGAGATCAGGTGGTGACGAAGGACCTCCATGAGGAGCAGAGGGATCAGAGAGAGAGCTCTGCGGTATAGGCCGCGATGCAGCGCAGGACCCAAATTCACCGCCACGGAGACGACCAGAACGTTGAGCCCATTCCGACCCAACCCCTCATCCTCAATCTCTTTTGGTTTATAAAGATATTGACGACAAGGATCGTAGTTTTGGGGTTATTGAGTCGAATTGCGATGTGGGTATGGAGGGTTTGGACCTCGATTTGAGTTTAAGGTTAGGGTTGGGATTGTTGTTTGGATGGGGACCTCGATCTGATGTGGGTCGTCGCGGGGGGGGGGAGGTAGTAGGTCGTGTGGGTTTTCAGGTAGGTCGTACAAAGAAGGGGATCTGGGTTGCGGGGAGGTGAGGGGGTGAAGGTGGGGTGTGGGTTTTCATGTGGGTTGCAGAGAGGTGAGGGGGTGGGGGTGGGATGTGGGGTTGCGGGGAGAAGAGAGGTGGATGAGGGAAGGTTTCAATTTTTTTTTTAATTTTTTTTATTAATTTTAATATTTAGAAGATTTAGGTTTTTTTTTTTTTAAAAATTAAAAAATTATTATTTTTTCCACGTGGCAGCCACATCAGCACAAATGTGGCAGCCACATCAGCATTTAACAAACTAATGGATGAAAAATCTAACGGAGGTGTTATTTTGAAATAAAATGATATTGGATGTATGAAAGTGAAATTTTTTAAAGTTGTTGTATGAAGTTGTAATAGACCTCAAACCTGAGGGGCTACTATGTAATTTACCCTACTTTAAATCAAGTAAATTATTTTATAAATAAGTTTATAATAATTTATATATATTTTTTTTACAGAAATTAGATAAGAATGTTCTTAATTGGCTAATAGAGATAAATACAAAGACCAAATTAACCAAATTGAAAACACATGGATTAAATAGAAGACAAGAAAAGTGAGACGAGAAATTTGGTTGAATGTTTGCTCAATAGATATAGCCATAGGTTTGAATAGACGTCTAGCAACCGAACAAGACTGCAACTAAAACAAACATCGAATGCTACAGAACTCACCTGTACCCATTTGCATCAGTGAACGTAAAGATTGCAAGTCTTCGCTGCTCTCGAAGCACGAGTATAAGCACGTAGCAAAGATCGAAAGATGTATCAAACGCCCACCCGTAATCCAGCAGATAAAATACATTACATAGTCCACTTGGGGCAACACCACACATACGATGATATAGGTAAATATTTGACTAGCTAGCATAGCACTTGAGGTGCGAGCTTAACCAAATCCACTGCACACATTGTTTACTCAGACATTCGAAAAATAATACAAAGACAATTTTTCATGGGAGAAGACTTTAACACACCATTTTTCTCCACATGCACACCCCACGCCTGTTACCGACTGTTTGATCAAACGAATAAAGAAAATCAGCGAACAAAACCAAACAAAGGATGCAAATGGAGAAAAATGGTGTGTAAACATTTCCCTCTTTCTTTCCCTCAACACAGTATTTCTTCGCAAGAGAATCCTTAAATAAACAAAAGGCAACTACTTGTCAACACAGCAAAAAGGTCCAATTGTCACCTCGTATGTCGAAAGCCACCTTATTCGGTTGTGGCTTTTATCTGAAAAATAAGAAAATATCTGTGTCAGCAAGGAGGATAGTTACCATCATGTTCCAGATAAATTTACCACTGAAACTACCTCTGTATAATTCATTATTCATACAAGCTGTACAACAGCAGCCACTCTTAGGGCCCCGTTTTGGAGAAGATCAGCAAGCTCGTCAAATAGCAGAGCCGACCGCCATCCCCAGCCCTTGGGAGCTTTTGGTAAAAGCGTGCCTGTTTGCTTGAAACTCCCAAACACCATGACTTCCCTCTTTGATGGGCAAATTAACTGCATCATACAGGTATATGAAGCACGGATTCAATATACAAGGTTCTGGCGTAACATGAAAATGGGCTAAGTTGACAATGTTTGGTCACTTTGGAATGTTACCTGATAGCGGGCTGTAACCTTTTCACGAGAATCAACATACATCTGCACCTGTTTTGGGCACAAACCGTAAAGTATCAATTAACAATCATATGAATCACAAATGTGACAAAACATACTCGTCAGCAAAACACAGTGAAAAAGGGTGATCCTTTAAATGTGAAGATAAGAAGCATTCTTCTCCATAACTAAAATAACCCAATCATGCTCGAACAATCAAGGGAAGGCTGGCTAACCTTTCTGAATGAATCAGTAATCTCTGCCTTACGTCGGTGAATAAATAATCCTGAAATAACAAATATATGATATGCATTCAGCTTAAGCAACAAATTTAAAATATAATTCAGAAAAGCAAAACAACATGCTTCCAAGGTATATATCATTAAGCCAGGAACAGTACCAAGTGTTCGACGTCCTTGAGGATCTTCATCATTAAAAGCCTGAACGCTAACCTATAAATTGGAACAGAATACCCATTCTGTCTGAGAGCATGGAAATTGGAAATCGGAAAAGCATCACCACATATGTAAATCTTATATTGAAAAGAACAACAAGTTTGTACTCAAACACCTTCCATAAAGAACCAGCATAAAAGACTTCTGAAGAGTGCTTCACTTGGCCATCACTAAGCCTGTGCACATCCTCAAATTGCACCCTGTAAAAAAAAGGGTGACTTGTAATTAGTAGGACAGACAATTGAGCATGATGACCAATCATTACATCCACATTATAATATTGTTAATGACATTCGGACTTGAGCAGATTCTGACTCAACCATCCTCACACACACAAAATCCAGTCCCAAGCAGAAAGGAATTGCATAAGTAGATGTGCAAAGGCACTTATATAATTAGGTAATCAATTTGTAAAGGAGACTTCTAAGCTAGTAGATCATAGGACAGCATCCTAAAAAGAATGTATGATTATTATTTTCCAAAGAGAGTTCAAAATCTGAAGCGCAGGTGGAAAGGAGTAATGGA